TATTATGTAAAAATAAAATAGTAAAATAATTAAAACTGACATTGAAATATTTTCACTTCATTATGTATATTAAAAAAGTGCATTTCCTCTAATTGTCGAACAAAATTATTTTTCATACAAGAAATATTTTCGGCTTTCTCTCATGCATTCATCTCTCAACTGGTATTTGACATTAAAATGTATTCGTAAATAAATATAATATAATCTAAAAAAGTATGGGTTTAGGCTTCAGCCTTAAGGTAAATTTTTTTTTTAACTCCAAAAATTGTGTGAATGAACTGTCAAGCTATTTCGGTTTTGCATATGTTTAATAGTAAAATGACATATGGTTTTGATTAATTAAAAATATTATTGAAACATCCTGGCACTGAGAGGAAACACATCTGTAAGATCTGTTCGTTAAACAGAAAATTTTCGTAAATAATAATTTTTATAAAAAATAAAAATTATGTGAAGAAATTATTTGAGTTTAATTTAAAAATGAGTGGGAAATATTCAATTTTTAGCTTTATTTTTTAAAATTTTTGCTGTAATAAAATTTTTACATACGAATAAAATGTTTACAAAAATTATTGACATTTCAATGTTCTTTCATATTTTCGCTCTTTTGTATTGTCATATGCCTGCTTAAAAAGGGATTAACAGCACTAATTACTTTTATAAATAATTTTTAAAGAGTTTTAGATATTTTCGAATTTTTATTTGTTTTTGCATAAAATTCGAATTCAAATTTCTAACTTTTTAAAATTTCTAAATTAAAAATTAAAACAATATTTCAATAAATTCATTTATACTTGCGCCATCTTTATACCATCTATGGCTTATATTCAAAAAATATTTAATTTCAACTAATACTGTATTACAATGAAATGGCAACACTGTTAAATCATTTGTTTAAAATTTTTACTAAAACATTTTGAATTTCGAAATTTTTTTTAAAAGGCTTATATTATGTTAGTCTCATGTGTTAAATGCAAGAAAAAAATTGTAATGTAATTTAAATATTTTTAAAGAAAACAAATATTTGTTTAAAAATTTGTGCATAAAAATTATTTAAAAATTCTTCAACAAAAAAAATAAAGTTGGGTCAAACCAATGGTTTGTATTGTAGCACTTTTCCCTTCAACAAGTGAAAATTCTGCTTTTAAATACAGTCTATGTATACCTATCACACTATTAAAATTATTTTCATTCATATACAAAGCTATTTCTAGGATTGCATATATTTAGGATGACGCATATATGCAGTCTTTGATTTAAAGCAAAAATTAATATAAAAAGGGGTTAACATAATGCTCGATTTTAAGGGTTAATCGTGTGAGTTAAGAAAAATAATCATATTTTTAATTTCATGGAATTTACCGTTAGCTTTTTGCGTTTATAAAAATTTGGAAAAGCTTGCGGTTTCGGAAATATAAGGTGTCAAAAATTCAAATTTTACGAATTTCAAGAGGTGATAACTTGAGAGGGGGTGGAAATGGAAAAAAATTTTCTTCTAACAAAATGAACTATTTATTAATATCTAAAAGCTCCTAAAATTTCAAGCTTCTACAGTCTGGGGTCTAGAAGAAAAACGACATCAAAAATTTGGAAAAAAAGGACTTTAGATAACGGTAAATTTGAACGGCCATTTTGTTTTTCTTAAGTTGAACTATAGTATACCGCGCAAGGGAAAGCAAGCCACTGCCTTTCTGCGTTTGCAAAATTTCAAAAATGCTTATGGTTTCATTGCAACAAATATTTAAAAAAGGCCATTCTTAGGGTTTTGGGGGGGTATAACTTCTAGAGGGGGGGAGATAGGTAAAAATTTTGTTCTACGGAAATAAGTTTCTAGTGAAGATCTATGTACGTATTAAATTTCAGCTTTCTATCTTCAAAGGTGTAGAAGTTTTGTAAACAGACACACGGACAGACGGACGGACGGACGGACGGACGGACGGACGGACAGAGTGAAACTAATAAGCACTTTTTTCAAAAAATTTTTTGGAAAAGTGCTAAAAATTAATTTTCGTTGTAATTTTTTTAATAATTTTTTTTTTCAATTTTAATTTCTATAATTTAATGCACACATACATATATGTTTATCGCCGTTGGAAACATACAAAATATTTTTCGAAACTTTTTGATTTAATAACACTTAAAAAATATTTTTTTTTTTTGGATTTTTTTTTTTTTAAACAGAGGAAAACATAAATTTATTTAATTTCTCAAGGGAGAACACAGCAACTTAAAAGGCGACTTCTACTTACGTATATATGGTGTCTTGTATATACAAGTAAAAATATGTAAAAGTAATAATATATATAAAAAAAAATAAAAGTAACAGAAAATAACTAGTATTTTTCATTATAATTAATTTCTTAAGAGTAGAAGAAAAAAAAAAATAAAAAAAAAAAAATTGAAAAATGTTTGCAATTTTTTTTTTCTCAGTGTTTTTTTTTTCTTACTTCAAAATTACAAATGTAAATTTTCTTTGTTTATGGAAAACTTTTGTAATTAAATTGCAAAAAAAAAAAAAATAATAGAAACAAAAAATAACTTTTTAATAGTTTCTTATTGCGCAAAAAAAAACACACACACAAACGAAAAACACAGAGAGAAAAAAAAAAACTAATTTCACTGAAAGAAATTTTTTTTTATTTTATTATTTTTATTTTATTATTTTCTTGTTTTTTTAACCTATAACTACAAATTTATACCAATAACAAATAACGATAACAATAGAAAATAACCATCGCACAGAAAATACAAAAATAAAAATTATAAGAGAAACAAAAAAAAAAAAAAAATTAAAAAAGAAAAATTGTTGAATTCTTAAGAAAGTCATGAAAAGTCCTTAATTAAAAATTAAGACGAAAACTTTTATTTTATTACACTTTAACATTACCATGGAGTTTCCTCTTATGTTACATAGCGTTACCATGTTTTCATAAATATAGAAAATTTTTTTTTCCCGTTTTCGTTTTGCTTTTCAAATTTCTTTCTGTGTTGTTTGTTGTTTTATTGTTCTTGTATTCAAGAAAAATTATTTTCCTATATAATATAGTTATAACTCTTAAAAAAAAAAAACAAAACATGTTGTAAGTGAATGTGAATCATCAGGACGAAAATGATTTCATTACAATTTATAGCACGTGACAACTTAATTTAATATCTACTGTTTTTCTCATATATACAAAATGTTTTAATGTTATATATATTGCTTATATATACAAACAAATATATTGTATAATAAATATATATATATATATATTAGGTAAAATGTACCAATTTTCACTCTCTCTCTTCCCCTCTTATTTATGCATATAAATTAATTGGATTTTTTTTATATCTCTATATACATAAATATTTACATAACAATATTATATGGGGATATATAAGACTTTGACTTTTACGAAATGGATACAAACATATATATTTATATGTATAATATATATTCATGTATCCACTTGATTGAGTAATAAAATGCTAATAAAATGAAAAAAAAAAATTTCTTCTTCAAAGCAATCATTTATGTAATTATTTAGGTATTGGCAAAAATGAACCAAAAAAAAAAAATTGGTTTTTTGTTTTGGTATAAATGTACACATGCATATGTATATGAGTATGTGTGTACAATTTTGTTATATTATATGATTTTGTATAATTTTGAAAAGGTATAGTTGAGTAATATGATGATGATGTTTGTTTTTTTTTTCTCTGTGTATATGTAGATGCATGTTGACAAGGCAACCTTATAATCAAAAATTGCTTATCACAACATGAAACAAAATAAAAAACAAAAATTTATACTAATTTTCTTAATTAACTTTTTATATTAATTTGAAACCAATTTGTTTTCTTCAAAATTTTCTTCAAAAAAAAAAAATTTTTTTTTGTGTATATAAGAAATGTAAGTATTTTAGAAATTTTTTTATTTGAGATTTATTTAAAAGGTATTGTGTTCCAAAATACAGTAGAAACGTAATTAATTTTGGTTATCAATTGACAGAATTTGAAATTTAAGAAAAATGAAAGTTTTATGCGTGTAAATGTTTGCGAATTTTGTTTGACAGAAAAAAAAATAAAAAAAATCATAGAATATTTGATATTTGAACCCTAACTTGTCGAATTTAAGACATTTTTATTAAATTAATGCCAAACTGATAATTGTTGGTTTTTTGATTCGAGCTATAGCATAAACAAAAATTTATTGAATGCAGACTTAATATTTGCATACAATTGATTCCTGAATGAAAATATTCGAATATTAAAATGAAAATATTTTTTAAAATTCCGTTCTCATCTTTCTAGTGTCTTATATAATTAATCACTGTCACATTCTCTACTCTCTCTCAGAAAATTCAACAAAATTTCAACTTTGTTGAAATAATCATTTTAACAATATATTTGACATTTTTAAGAGATTTCACTCGATTTTGAAATTTCTGTTTGTAACAAGCTATATACCTATACTAATTTCATATACAACCTTCAATTTGTAGCAAAAATAACAATTTGATGTCAAAACTGTAACGAGTGTTATATAACTCTACCAAATTTTTTGAATATTTAAAATATAAAACTTGAGATTTCAAAAATAAAATTCACATCAGAAAAAAACAATATATAGAATGTAATCAAGTATAAAAGTTGAATGATATACCTTGATGTTCAACACTTTATAAGTCTGCATATGTCAAAATATGTTTGAATGTATAAAGTTAACCTATAATAAATTAATTTTATGTGTACTTTTAATTAATATATGTTCTTAAAATTTATCTTATACAAATGTATATTATGTATATATATAAGTATACAATGTATAATATTAAGTTCAATTTAATAGGTTAATAGGTCTATATTTTATATTAATTTATAAAAGGCGTGGAACATTGTACAATATTAATTCTTGTCATTTTAATTGTATTTAATTTGTTAAATCGAAATAATTTATAATATGTATATTTCTTGTTTTCATTTATAAAAATGTTAAATTAATCGAAAAATAAAATTACCTTAAAAATAAACCATTATCCTTATATCTGTATTCTTATAATATATATAACGCAATGTCCGTAATATGAAATATCTGAAAAAAAAAAAATAAAAAAATCATTGCAATAATTATAATTATTTCTTAACATTTTTAAAATATATTTATGATGCAAATAAATTTATATCAGATTAAGAGTAATTAATAATATTATAAAAAACGAAACATCCTCTCTTTAAAAGTATTCCTTGTCAAATGAATGCGGTATGCGTTAATTAAAAAATTTGGTCATATAAATAGATATTATCGGAGTAGCCGCACGGCAATCACACTAAAAAAGTATTGTCATTGTGTTAGACGTTTTATAGAAAATGTCAATCATATTTCTATAACAATAAAATGTATAAAGTCGGGAGTATTACAGAAATTGACAATTGGAATACGTAAACCTAAATTACTGCTTATGGGTATGGTACTCGTATATGGGATCTAAATTACGGTATGGGATAGATCATTTAGGTTTAGCACTATAAATTAAATATTTTTAAAATTTTGACATATGAAAGAAATACTCATTTTTCTAAGATTTAGTGTCATGTTTTCTCATAAAATAGAAATTGATGAGAATAAAAAATTGCTCAATTCTTTATATATACAATACAAATGTATGAATTGTACATTCCTTTATTATTTTGCTCTATGAATACGGTAAAGTTATAAAATACATTTGATGTGAAATATCGAAATGAAATGAGCTTTTAAATTCTCCCTATAACGATTTGAATTTTCTCTATAAATATCGTTTCACTTAAAATATCCGAAGACATGTCTTTATTTATTAGCTGCATTATAATTTGTCATAACAAACTGATAACGATATTATACATACATACATATACATAATATGTATATAATGTTCATTTAGCTTTTAAAACAAAAACAAAAAAAAAAACAAATTTAATGCATTTTAATATTAAGATAAGACTGACATTTTTAATGGGATCAAAAAATGTCAAGAGAGTTAAATAAACGAATTTTTATTAAAAATGTAATTTAGCACAATCATACTGCTATATATGTATGCATGCATATATATAATATGTATGTATTTTATGCCTTAAGATTTAAATTGAAGAATATAAATTTTATGGTACCCATGCACGCAGTAAAAAAAAAAATTTATTTTAAATACATTTTATATATTCGAGTAATAAATACATTAATATAAAAAAAAAACATTAATGTTATATTTATCATATGTATATAGATATATAACGTGGGTTTATACAATGGTTTATATAATCGACAGCCATACAATATTATCTATAAAAATTATTTGTGTATATGTAATTATGTGATACCATAAATAATGTTTTTTACATTCAGCAAAATTTGACTGTTGAAATTAAAAATTTTATTTTTTTTTTTCGTTCAACAATTATCGTGTTCAAGTTACGAAGTATGGTCTCAGGTTGCAACTCTATAAATTAAAGTCGTGTTGCATCTTACGAAAAATTTTGATTCGGGTGATATTCGTTGCGTATAAATAGAAAATTTTTGTATTTGCTGCGTTTCTCTTAAATGAAAAGAGTGTAAAAGTGAGTAATTTCAAGTACTACATAAATAAAATTCCAATATTGTTATACTAATGCAGAACTTGGAATCTGTTTACATGTGAACATTGTCTCTATACAAAACTTTTACCTTCTCATGACAGTCTATACTATGGTATATAGCAAGGCAATCACATACGAGATGGCGCCCTAATTATAGAAGTAAAACATTTACCTATAAAATAAATTTTGAAACTATAAATATTTGACATTATTGCTGTCATTTTAAAAATGTTGAACCTGTAAAGCTTACAAATTTTCCGAATCTTCAATTTTTTTTCAATATTCTAAAATAAAAAAAAAATCAATTGGAATCAATTGTTGCATAATTTTGAATTGATTTATACAATTGATTTACATAATTTTGAATTGTGCTCGCGGAATTCTAATTTAAATTTAAGCAAATAATAAAAGTACTATTTTTTCTGTTATATAGAGATATTGTAAGTCGAAGAAGGAATTTTACATGAAAGTGTTTTAAATATTTTTTAAAAATTTGTAAAATTGCATACTTTTAGGACGTTGAAAAAAAAAATTGAAAGAAACGTTAACAATTATGCTGAATTGGATGGTTAAGCTAGTGAATTAAGATAAATCATACTTTTGACTTTGTCGTTACAGATAAGCTTGTAGTTTGGAGAAGCTTTCAGTTTCAGAAATATAAGTCTCCAAAAATTCAATCTACGAATTTCAAGCCATTTTGTCTTTTTAATATTCAATTATGCTGTGATGTGATAGGAGAAGTATGTCGCTACCTTTATGCGTTTGCGAAATTTTAAAACTAGTTGCGGCTCCATAAAATGAATAATCAAGGAATAGCATTTTTAGGCTTTGTGAAGGGGTCCTTGTATATAAATAAGTTTTTCATTTAGTCTTTTTACAGAATAAGTTTTGAGCTAAACTAATAAGCATCTTTTTTCAATTCTTTCTTTTAAAAGGTTCTCAATATAACATGTGGGCGAGGAAATGAAGAGCTATGAAATCTTGAGAGAAAAAAGAATTTTTTATGATTCATTTCTAAAATTTCTCACTGCGATTCACAATAACTATTGGAATAGGCGTAAAATAGAAATTTATTTTCTTCATTTCATCCCACTGTTCATGCAGCAATTAGCCATGCTTAATTTTTGTAAATAAATCATTGCGTTTATATAGTTTGCTCGCTTATACACAAAACATTACGTGTGAACGTGTAAAAAAAAAGAGTTTACGAACTTGTCTGTTATCTTACTTTAACACACTGTAGCTAAAATGTTTATACATTTTATGTTTTATACACTAAAGTATTGCTTTATTTTTGAAATTATGAAACATTTACAAAAAAAAAATAAAGAAATTTGTTTTGATTGTTAGCACTTGGCATGCTTAACTGCAAATAATAAATGAACAATTTTTTGTTGAAAAATTTAATATGCGGTTGAATAAGGTACAAGAAACACTAAAAATTTCCTTTACACCATAATATAATAGTGTGTATACTCAATTTTTGTTCCTATTTTTGTTTTCTTGTACAAAAAAATGAATTCAAGCGTACCAATACCGTTGAAAATACATGAAAACCATTTTCCCATTACATACGTACATAAAATTTATTTGTATGAAAAGAAAATCAATCATATCAATTTGATTGATTTCATTAAATTTTTTATTCTTGTTATTTTTTTACCAATTTTTTTTTTTTATGATTTCAAATTACTTTCGTTATTGTAACAAAAAAAAATTTTTTTTCTTAATAATTTTTCATTTTTTTTTTCATAAAATAAACTATACGCAGGGTTGCCACTGACGAGAATAGTTGGAAACCATCTGCGAGGTTAAAATCTCACAAAATCAAGAAAAAAGGGACGAAAATAAAAGTTGTAAATTTGCAGTTTGTTGGCTTCAATATATTGTTATCATGTTTACCGTTATATCCGTATGAATGTACGTCTGCTCTGGCGATAACTCAAAAACTTGCAAGTTAAATTCTATAAATTTTCACAAAAGATTTAATATAGAAAATGCCAGAAAACTATTATAATTGAATGTGATCAAGGATGTATTTTAAGTATCTAGCTGCAGTACAAATTCGAGGAGTTAGTTATTGGACAGAAATGATTGAAGCAGTAGTACCGAAAACTTGCGCAAACAAATATATTATTAGAGCCCTTATGTATGATAAAAGTATCTGAAATTGGATGACTGGTTATGTTAGCTGCCATACAGTTTCAAAAATTCATTAAGTGATATTTTATATTTGGAAATAATAACAGTGCTAAAACTTTGCATAAACCAATATGGTAATGCAGTCAATATTTTCGTTAACACTTTTTGTGATAGTATGAGTTTGTATGGTAACTGCCATATGTATAAACAAATAGTTGTATGAATCAGTGTGGCAAATTATCATACAACTCTTAAAATTGATTGGCCAACTCTACATTTCTTCGTTTTAAATCAAATTTTTGCTAATAGTACTTCTGTCTGTATCGAAAATTCGAAGAAATGCTAAGACAGGAAAAAAAAGCCAATATGAAGAAAGGATGTTACCAAAGTAACAAATTTTGGCACGAAATCACTAAAATAAGTGGCAACCCTGTATTTACGTATTTATTAAAATATTAAATGTGCGGTTTTAAAGGAATGTTGAAAAAGGAAACAAAAACAAAAAAATAAGAAAAAACTAAAATTAAAAGAGAACCGTTATGCTATTTAGTGATAAATTTGCAAAAATTTATCTTTGTTCTATCAAAATCGATTTTTAAGGTTTTCTTTTTTTCTCCAATTTTGATCGATTATTTTAGTTGATTATTCTCTTTAAACTTTTCCGTTGTATAATGACAGTAATAAGGTGTGAATTTTTGTATATGTACTTGATGCAGGAGCCTTCAGATTTTTTTTTTAATGGAACGATATTGAATTGAAAGCATGTGTATAGCTTTTTAAGAGTATTCGGCTTAATAGTACAGAGATTTTCAAATTTGCTTTTGTATAGTTTTGTAACTCTTAATATAATTAGATTAAAATGACAGATGACAGTTTGACGTTAAAATGTCAATAATTTTCATTATTATATTCTGTAAATATTTGAAAGCATGAGTTCGCGTCTGAAGTAAATATAAGAAAAGAGGCATCCGGATCTGAAAGTGATTTAATTGCACTTGATATGGAGCATTTAATCTAAAGTAATTGCTAAAATAATTCGGTTACTATCAATTGTCATTATTTTTCCAAAAATTCGGCAATAAAATTATTAAATTGCAAGTTATTTTTATAAAAATTTCTATACCAATTCAGTTTTAATACAATTTCCAAAAAATATAATAGTTTTGAATAACTTTAGCAAATAATAATTTATAGAACTTTTATAGTTAGCAAAATAAATTTCTGAAAATGATATCGCTAAAAAACAAAAAACGGAGGAAAAATACCCAATAAAATTTTCGAATTATTATTTTTTATCTTCATAAAAAAAATCGTATTTGTGGCATTTAATTATTTTGG